AAATAATATACTTCTCTTACGTTCGTGCTTATAAATATTAGAATGTATTTTTTCTTTAGTTGAATTTCGCCCAAAGTTACTCGAGGGCTATCTGCACTAGCCGTCCTTAATTTAGAAATAACAGAGTAGAGGGAAGGCAGATAGTTAGAAACCATTCACTGCCAACTCTTGTGTTACGCTTTCGCCATCGAAAAGTAAGATTAACCGACACATTATACTGTCCATAAGCCTGAAAGGGAAGAACCTGTTCCGTGACGGGATTCGAACTCACGACCCGCAGATTGCGAGGTAAGTGCCCTAACCACTAAGCTATATCAGGCCGCTCAGTTGGACATTCTCATTGTTAATGATATTTTCGTCATAATAATACTCGCAATTACGTGAAACGACTGTATAACGAAGCATGTGTTATTTAGTTGTTCGACCCGTATGTGCCAGAGTTCACAACATATGAGCTGCAGTGATTTCTGTCAGAGAAAACTTTGCAGTGTTTAGATATATAGTGGTCAGTTTGTCATAATTCATAAAATCTAGTCAATCTACTTCAAACTTTGGGTTAAAACAAAACAGCTGATGTCAACGTAGTCATTAATTAGAAGCCAGAAGGAACTATACTCTGTATTATCCAGAGAAAACTAAAATTCTGCTCTTAAGTGTTAGAACACTGTGCCTGCAAACAGCTGCTTTACATTGAGAAGTGACCAGTCTGGTCAAAGATAGCTGGGGTCAAAGGAATTTGTTATCGTTGTGGTCAACAGGACCATTCTGTGAATTACAAATGCATGAGGAAACGTTTGCCTCAAACCTTTAAAGGTCACCATGAGACATTTGAAGAGAAAAGGTTAGGTAGTGGTAGTAAAGTCCAGTCAGGAAACAATGATTAGGTCAAGAGCAGGGGCAATGTTCACCGGAGATGACTAAATTCCTCTGCTTGAAAATGCTTTGTCCACAAGTTAGAAGTGATGTACAGCTACATCATTATCCAGCCTTCTTAGATGAAAGAAGGGATTGATTTGACGCCAGCCAGCATTAAAATCACGTTGTATGTGCTGACAAGTACAGGATATTATTGATCTACTGAGAATTGTTATAAAAAAATTCACTATATTTTCATGATTAGTGTTCGCTTGTCTATGAATCAAACTTGCTCGAGCTGATCATCTTGCGTCTAGGTTTGTGGAAAAATGTTTAAACTAATTGATTATTTTAACACAAATTGACGCAGTAATAAATCAAACATTTAGATAAAAATAACTTTTTTTTGCGAGTTTTAAAAGCACGCGAAACTTTTAGTGTTTTGCATAAATGCGTGCGCGTAGTTTCTGAACATTATTATATACAAGTCCCCCGGTGGGTAAGCGGTAACTCTACGGACTTACAACGCTAAAATCCGGGGTTCGATTCCCCACGATGTACAGAGTACAAATAACCAAATATGTAGTTTTGCGCTAAAACAAGCAAATATATATATATATAATATTAAAAACAATTTAGCGCCGAAATGTCTAGACATAAAAGTTCATAGAACTATATATACATTAATGGAGGGAGGATAATCTGGTAATTATAAAGAGGTTTTTGCAACAACTTTCGGTGTGTTTCGTTGTCAGATTTTCACGCACCACTCGCGTGTCCACTTGAGTGGGCTTTGTGAATACACAATGATGTTTTAATCTTTCATTACAAGGATCCATCTTTATATAATTTAACCGACTGCTGAACGCGTACGTCGTGCGGTTTTCAATGAATATAGCTCTGATGGCACGCAGTATAACCACTTCTAGGAACCGTGCCTAAAAATAACTACTGTACCAGACAGGAACAGCATTCGAAACATGGGACAGTCAGTGTTCATTTGGTAAACATAAAGATATACATGTGTATATACAGATACATGCATTACATCGTTTCTTTTCGTGATAACAAATTCATGTTTTGTGTAAGGATATTCAATTTTAAGTGAGTGAACGTACTGCTATTTTCCTTCACGCCCGAGCCCTTGGTAGACCTCTTATACATCTAAGTGTCAGAGACAATGCCTCTCCGTACTTCCATATTCAGGAAACTTAACGAAATAAGTTTCTTAATGTGGTTTGTTAAAGTACACGACCAGTCCATGGAGGGGAGGGGCAAAACATGTATGTAGGGGATCAGCTTTTACAGTGTAAGTCAACAGACTAAAATAATATGTTATGTGTGCTTAATTGCAAATAAATATGTACATTTTAAAAAAAATTACGAAACATATTTAGTTTAACTACGATGTTAAGTTTACATCATAATATGGGCAATTTTTTGTGAAATGTAAGGGGCAAATGCCCCTCTTTCCCCTTCATGCTGACCACTGCTAATTATTATAGAAAGGGTTTTGCTTAAGACTTTATTAACTTTCTTCCCTAATGATCGTAGAATTGCTGTCGTTTTTTTATTACAACCGTAGATGTTTTTTTATATTACGACAATGGTAAGTGATTTCATTACGACCGTAGTAATGTTTTTTATATTACGACAGTAGTAAGGGATTTCATTACAAACATACAAAGGATTTTATTAAGAATATAGAGAAAATTTTCAGTAAAATCGTATAAAGGATTTCATTACGACCGTAGAAATGATTTTCACTACAACAGTAGTAAGGGCATTCATTAATTTCACACTACGCGCACCTTACTTCTAATCTTACACTAAGCACGCCTTACTTCCATTAAGTAAATACGACTATAAATCCCAGATAAATAACTTTATTAGTGTTCAACGTTCAGTCTTCTCAGTAACCACACTTGTAGCAGAAGCCGAAACGTTGGGTTTCCGTATCGTTTCTGATGGTATTCTGTGAAGGTTCGCCTTTATCGTCATGGCAGAAACATTTTCTTTTCCTTATGTTCTAGGAGCCTACCCCAATTTATCTTTGTCTTTTCAGAGTAATGCATCACAATTATAATAAAATACTGCTACTAACCAGATGTAATTTTACAGCTTCTAAGTTATTCATTCCTTAGATGTTTCATTGGAAAAATACATAAATAACAACTCCCGTGTTTTTTTCTGGCCTTGAAAAGCATAAAGTGATAGGATATGCTTTAATTTCTGTATTGTTGTGGATACGAATATACCACTAGTGGATACCACTAGTAAATGATCGACAGATAAGTGAAACATATGTAACACGAAATCACAATGGCGACATGTTCAAGAACTATCATTTATTTATGTTAGAAGTCTGTCAAAAGAATAATATTTAAAAATAACTACGACAAAACATTCCAATTTACAAAGAGGGCCACGCATGGCCTAATGGTGAACCTGAGGGTCCATGGTTCGCGTTCCGTACTTTGGGACCGTGAGGCGTTATAAGAGTGACAATAAAATCCTACTATTCGATTAACGTAGTCCAAGAGTTGGCGGTGGGTGCTGTTCACTAGCTGTTTTCCCTCTAGTTAATTAATTCAGAATTAGGGACGTCTATGCATAAATAGTTCTTTTATAGTTTTTCGCGATTATCCAAAACAGTTAACCAAGCTGTTGAAATACATGTAGACCCCACCGATAGTGAATAGTGTAAAAACAAGTAAGTCGGTAACATGCGGGTTAAATTCTTCTTGTACAGATATATTCATTACATACGTATATATATACATATGAAGTATATGATTTATTGACGTTCACACGTCAGCAACATTTGCCTTCTTCTCTTGCCAATAAACCAAACTGGTTTTCGATAATAAAAGTTATTTTACTACATATGGTCATTTTGCCAAACTGGTCCTGATGATGATGTATAAGACGACAGGTATCGTACCACACCATAGACTAGTCGATAGAGCTGAATACTAAGTTGTACCAAATATACCTGTTTAACCAGACTCCAATTCTTCGCTCACCGGTGGTGATTATACATTACTTACTCCACGAGAATCTTTTGGAAACACGTATTACACGTAAGAAATATTGAATAGGCGTGTAGGAAACTAGACAGTTTTCGTCAGGTTAGGTTAGCTTTGTCTGAAACAGCTAGTAAAACGAGACACTGTCAAGAAACTGGTTTTCTCTGAGCGTGGAGTAAGATTGTGGAAGGGCATTCGTCCGAAACGCTATGGATGAACAATTCTGATACGTACAACACGCCAATTTTTCCACTATCGTCATTGTTCCTCGTTTGAAGTGGTTTAGCTTTTATGAACTTCAACAGATTGTATTTCTTAAAGACCATCATATGCTTGAGGTTATTTTTAATGGAAAAAAAATGGTTACATCCTTGAATTGTGAGTTATTCAAAAGACGTGTATTATATTGTAATTTATTGTTAACTGTTTTATAATTTTGGTGTAAAGCTACACAGGAGCTATCTACGTCCGCACAGCTGTTCCTAATTTTCAACTGATAGACGAGAGGGGAAGCAGCTAGTCAACAGCGCCCACCGCCAACTCTTGCGCTACCCAAGTCAGACCCAATGGTGGGATTTCACTGTCACTCTTACAGCGCAACCACGGTCCTAAAATACGAAGTGGGTTCTCGCGGCATTGAGATATGCGAACCACAAACCTAGAATACACAGTCAGGACACGCAACAATTGAGCCACACTAGACCCAATACTTTGTTATTACCATTCAGTTTTTAGATGTGTTGAGGTTTAGGTCACGTATAAATGCAAAATCGGACTCTCTTAACTTTTGCTCCAATATTGCAAAATTCGACTATTTAGCGTATTAAAGATTGTTTGAATTATTGTAATAATTCCCATTTGATAAAATATTTAATATCTAAATTCAGCATACTTCACGTTTTTAGTTGCAGCTAGAATATTTGGTTAAATAAGGTTGCTTCTACAGCTATACATGATATTAAAAAGAATGTTTAAGTGGCTGTTTTTAAATTGTACTAAATTATTCAGTCACAACGTCACTGCAGTACTTCCAATGAAATGTTTAAACCTGTAGTTTTGGTTGGAGTCAAAGCCGCGCGTGGCGCATGCTTTACGTCATTTGACGTGTAGCTGTGACAGACGAGTGCGGTTGGTTATGGCGTCTGGTGCAGTTTTGCTGCTTTCGAGAGATTGGTTTGAATTTTACAGACAATCGAAACGCTTTTTTCATAGGCTATTGAATAAGTTCATATCTCAGAATACGATGATCTTATTCTCCTAAAAACACTGGAGAAAGCAAAACGTTTTAAATCGTAGGCACTAATTTGGTCTAACCGTTACTGACTTTTATGTAGCTATAAGTATAATGACAAACAGGTCTCTCGTCACACAGATGTGATATTATTGTCATTTGGTTTTATTTTGTTTTAAGACCTCATATTTTGATTGGCTTCTTGAGTCGATTCACGAAGTTTGTTTCGGTTTTTTTTTTTTTTATTTTTTTTTTGTAGAAGTGTACCGCGCATATCAGTCACTACCATAAGCAAGGAGTGACTTCTTGTGAATTTGTGACCGGCAGGCGTGGGAAGGCCACCTCCACGGGCTCCCCGGAGTTACCGAGTATCATATCCTCGTAGGTTTGACTGTTGGCATGTTTACAGCTGTTTATTCCAAAGTAAAATCTGAAGAATAAGCCCTTCCGATGCACTGTTAGTACATTTCTCTGTACTGGTGGTTACCCGAACATTCTTCCAACTTTGTTTCCCGATCATGGAAAATATAGCTATGGCTCAAGTCAACGCCACTCTTCCAAGAAGTAGGAAAACACCTTACAAGGTACGTAGGTACACGTGGGATGACGCGACAGTTCTCGCCTATATAAGGCTTCTTTTTTTCTGTGACAAGTGGGTGAACTGATAATATAGATATATATATATGTATGTGTGTGTGTGAAGGTAATACAACTGTAGAGGCATTTTCGAATAGTTAAAAATTTCCTTTACTCTTTCCATTTATACCAGTTAAGTGAAAAACATAGAACACCCAGAGTTATTCAATAGGACTTAACAATTTAGTATTTAAGTGTTATTTTTAACTTTATTAGGTTTTAACATCTAACGACAACAAGAGATTTGTAAACACCATTTATTTCATACATGAGTGCTTGTGTTGCACAGACAGAAAATTAGATGTGAATTTCGCAAGGGGAGCTTTGTAATCATTCCTATTTTCCTCGGCCCTTTAAAGTTTAATGTAGAAATTAGAACAGAATAAAATAACAGCAGCTACTAACATTCGCAGTAAAGAAACAATTATTTCTCTTTCAGTACTAAACTTCCCACAAAGCGAAGAACAAACGTATATTTTATAATAACCAATAGATAACATTAAAAAATGGTAATTATAAGAAAACCCAAAACTATATGATCTTCGACGATATCAGCTCTCAATGGGTCAGCGAGGTCGATAAGTGAGAAAGCCATCCAGTTAAGCCAAGAGTGTGAAAGTCAGTTTGGTATAGATATAACTGTACGTGGGACTTTATGCCGTAGAATCAGGAGAACCTGAGGTTATTCAGTTTTCTCAGCTATATATATATATAAACTCCTTTTTGTTTTCCACTTGACAGTGCAGGTAAGCTGTAGTACAAAATGAGCAGATAACGGATACGATATTATTAAAAGTCGCAGTTCTCAGCCGACCAGATAATGTGAATTATTGTGTGTTACTTCTCCCCCTGTTGCTAAGTGACGGAGCTCTAAATGAAAGATCAAATAGCACTGGTACAAAACTGGTCCACAGCTAGGTGGACTACATTCACGAGTGCCTAATCGTGAATTGTCATTAGTTCGTGCAGCTTATGATAGACGTCTTGAGTATAAACAAACAACTATTTTACACTTATTTTAAAACAATAAAATGTCCGTGATTATCGTTACATTCATAATAATCATTGTGAACTAATATTATTAAGTACGACAGTACAGAACACGTCAATGAGACAACGTGCACTACTGAATCACTTCTCCCTTTCAACGCCATCACTGTCGCTTTGTCTACAGTTCCTTACATATTTTATAGCCTAACAAAATGCTTGCATAAGAGTACCAAGCTAGTTCAGAGATGAGTAATGCGTCTCAGTGAGTTTTCCGCTATAACTTTCGTTTCTACATTTTCCTTTTTAGATTTATTTGGTCTTTTCAAGGCTTTTGCAGGCTTCGATCGACGTATCTTTGTTATTATGTCACAGTCTATATTTCTGCTATTTGTCTAAGTTGTTATACAACTTAGTTTCTGCTACCGTTTGAAAATAAAGTGATTTTTGCACATGTCTCTAGCATTATAACGAAACTTTTATGCATACAAATAAAATGCTTGTATTGTATCTGAGATACGAGAAATTCATGTCGCTGTTTTATTTAAGATTTAAATAAATTTTCTGTATTGCAAACATTTTTAATTGCACTTTTCACCCGCCGATGGTAGAGGTTTAACTTAAAGCTAATGTTTTAAACTTACGTAATAACGGTATAGATCCACACATATATATATTCATGAGTTAATTTCAAACCAGCACGTCGAGAAACAAATGAAACTAAGATACAACCTAAAGGGTGGAAATGGAATAATGTATCACAAAAGGAAAGTAATTTGAAGAGATATGCCCCAAACTGCGATATTGATACAAAGGATACACCGTCTGTTAGTCTTAACCTTTATTCACATGTCTTACGTGTGAAATGCGATTGGAATTCCAAAATTAGGAGCAGATATAGGTGTTCAAGCTCACACACAGAGCATGATCTAAATTAGAGTTTCTGAACCTTTTTTCTATCGTTTCCCACTTTATCGAAAACGTGGTATTTTGCATCCTCACAAAGACATAGAAGATGATGTGTTTTGTTTTTCACACATTGAAAACCCATCGCTTTTGTGTAATATACAACTGGACAATACGAGGATGTGTGAAATCTTACGTACTATCTAGAGTAGGTAGACTTGTAAGGATCTATCCTTTCTTTGAGTGTAAAATTTACGTAACTGTCAGACTGTCTTTTAAATAAATACTATAATAGCAAACATGGTAGTGAACTTAAACCATTTTAAACTTATACTCTACGGTTATAAACTAGAACAATATATGTAAGCAGTATGTGTGCAGAGTACGTTACAAATCGTCTGACTTCGTGATAGTATAAAGATGTAGTGTTAAATTTTCTCGTGCATCAAAACTTTTAAGACGTGAATACACTTTGTATTTTATTGCACTAAGACACTAGTGGTGCACAAGATTATTCACTGCCACTGATTTTCCCGCTGCATGGGAGCGCGGAAGAAGGGAGAGAGGTCTGCAGTAGGAATGGAATGTTGATAACACCAGAGTAGAGGAAGGCGGAGTTAAGTGGACAGTTAGGATACTGTTGTAAGCGTATATTGCTGTCTCCTAAAGAGCTCTCATTACAAGTGGTTGCCAGGAAACGGCTCAAGCAGACTATAGAGTGGTGGGGGAGGTAGCAACACTAATAAAAATGGAATGTAGCGAAAACGAAAACTCGTAATTCGCCAAAATTATAGAACTTACTATATTAAATATTTAATGAAGCTCAACCACGATTAAGAATAATTCAATCCTCTATTTAGATAATTGATTTACTCCCATTTTTTGTAAAACATGGATACAAGGGATTTATTAACGTCCAAGGTATTAATTTTGTTTTGTCATTATTACTGAGTACGTACGTATGTATTTTAACGTGTAATAATAAGAGTAGATAAGGATGTTGAAAATCGAACCAGATCGATCATGTTCTGATGCCAAAGTATGCGTACAGCATCAACAGAAACAAAGAGACTGAACCATAGCAATTAACTTCAAATGTCTGTATTTGTTTTATTTTCCCTGTACTTCAGTTCTTGATGATATACGAATATGTTAAACGGTTGTTAACTCGCATTTAAGAACATGTTAAACGGTTGTTAACTCGCATTTAAGAACATGTTAAACGGTTGGTAACTCGCATTTAATAATATGTTAAACGGTTGTTAACTCGCATTTAAGAATATGTTAAACGGTTGTTAACTCGCATTTAAGAACATGTTAAACGGTTTGTAACTCGCGTTTAAGAACATATTAAACGGTTGGTAACTCGCATTTAAGAACATGTTAAACGGTTGTTAACTCGCATTTAAGAACATGTTAAACGGTTGGTAACTCGCATTTAATAATATGTTAAATGGTTGTTAACTCGCATTTAAGAATATGTTAAACGGTTGTTAACTCGCATTTAAGAACATGTTAAACGGTTTGTAACTCGCATTTAAGAACATGTTAAACGGTTTGTAACTCGCATTTAAGAACATGTTAAACGGTTTGTAACTCGTATTTAAGAACATGTTAAACGGTTGGTAACTCGCATTTAAGAACATGTTAAACGGTTGTTAACTCGCATTTAAGAACATGTTAAACGGTTGGTAACTCGCATTTAAGAACATGTTAAACGATGGGTAACTCGCATTTAAGAACATGTTAAACGGTTGGTAACTCGCATTTAAGAATATGTTAAACGGTTGGTAACTCGCATTTAAGAACATGTTAAACGGTTGTTAACTCGCATTTAAGAACATGTTAAACGGTTTGTAACTCGCATTTAAGAACATGTTAAACGGTTGGTAACTCGCATTTAAGAACATGTTAAACGATGGGTAACTCGCATATAAGACTATGTTAAACAGTTTTTAATTCGTATTTAAAATGTAATATTTTCTTCAGTTTGGAAAAGAAAGAAACATCGATCTTAGTAGGGCACTTCATACAAATGCCTCGCGAGTATATATATATATATAGATTGGGCTACCAGAGATCCTTTAAAAACATTGTAAGCGTTGAGTTTGAAATAGCAGATGGTCTCCGATTCTTTTACCCGTATGCGATAGTGCATTATAAATTCAATTATATATATGTATCAGACATATTTAAAAAAATTTAAAACGGTCTCACGTACCATCAAAATGCACCATTTTTGGTGAAAATTGCTAAATTATTCGAAAGAGGCATGCCCCCGGAACCCCCGCCCATTATGGTTTCGCCGCTTATTTCCTTTTCTTACAAAATAATCCCCCCTTTTAGATATCTGTCTGCCTACATATATTTTGTAATTGTTGGGCAATCAAACGAAACTCGTTAAGTACGGTAAGTTGCTGCTGTTTACTGCTTTACTAGCTGGTCTGCGATTGGTTAAACTTATGTGGACCTGCTAGATTCCACAGTTGATCTGGCCTTTGCTACGTTGATAAAATCTCATGTCGCTTCTAAAATCATGTCAACTGAATTATACGTCAACTGAATTCTTCAAAATAAATCAAATTAAAGGACTTGGACTGCAGTAGCCCTGTTTCCATTTTCGGGTCATCTTTATAGTCTGATCGTGATTTGCTTCCTTCCTTCCTTATCTCACGCACACAAGATATCCAGACGATCTGGTCACGTCTAGCGTTGTTTTTGTTTTCGCTAACATTAGTAGTGCTTTGTTCAGACACCAATAGGGCTGTTTGTCAAGGAAAATTGGCGCGCATACAACGTTTTTAAAGCAACTCCTGGCTGGTAGTCGAGTTAAATAGCCAGATATCAGCGTGTATTGTGAGAAGCTTAGTGATCATGTGCGAGCCTACTGTATTTTAAGACCACAGAAAATCGATAATGACTTGATTAGAAATGCAGAATGACAACTTTGAGCGCCTCTGGTGTTCTTTCACGTCTAGGAATAATATTAGCTGGGAATAAACGTTGACAATCGCTGAAGTGAACGATGTAACTCGGGAGTTCATAAAGCGAGTTT